TTGGGATTTTTCCACATGGGATTTGGGTTTGAGTGGGATTTTAAAGATTTGTAGTTTGTGCGGCATGTATAATTGCAGTATTGATCGACACACAATTGATTCACATCAACCAATCAGAGGAAAGTCTTCTTGATAAAGTAAAATCTATCACGTGATCAATCAAAGAATGCAGTCGGACTTCTTCACAGAACTCTTGGATTCTTAACCAAAAAGTTACATAATAATGTCTTCGCATAAAGCAAAATCAAAAGTACTTGATGACAGTGAAGATGACGATCCTTCTAATGAGTCTTTCGTTGCTTATGGAACTGAACTTCCTGATGTGACCACTTCGGGTGAAAAGGATAAGGGGAAATTTCAACCGGTCTGGAAACAGGAAGTATATATACCTTTTCAATCAAATCAAATCATATTCTTTTATTCGCTTGTCCTAAATTACTGTCTTGTAGGTTCGCGATGAACAAGGCCTGCGACGTTTTCATGGTGCTTTTAAAGGCGGTTGGTCTGCTGGCTATTATAATACCGTTGGATCTAAAGAAGGTAGATTTCTCACATACTTGATTGTTTACAATGTTGCGAATTAACATACGCAGATTAACTTACGCTCGATTATCTTTTCAGGTTGGACTCCTACTTCTTTTGTGTCTTCTCGCAAAAATAGAACAGAACGGCAGGTTTTTAAGCCTGAAGATTTTATGGACGATGAAGATCTGGAGGTATTTGGGCAACAATTTTATACATATATTTTTAATCGCTTTTCTTTTATTTATTTTTAACCTGTTTATTTCATTAGGAACTTGGCCAAAGTAAGAAACTAGTTGCTACCGAAGAGTTTGATTCTTTAGGTTCGACAGAGCGTGATTTAGAAAAAAAACGTGCTCTGGCAAATTCCATGGATGCAAGTGGAAGGCAAGTATAAATTTCTCTTGTATTACTTTGTCTAAATACAATTATGCTAATTTCAATTAATATTAGTATTCTCGGTGCACTTCCTGATAAATTAATCGATGATCTTGTATTGCCGAGTAAAGAACCTGTAGGTACGAATAATATTTTGAAAACTTTGCTTACTTTTTTTTTGGAATTGTATATTTTATAAATGATATTACTTTTTATAGGAATGCGTCTATTAAAGTCTATGGGATGGAGAGAGGGTCAAGGCATAGGTCCTCGTGTCAAAAGAAAAAAAAGAGACTATGATGGTATTTAAAAAAATTTTTTTTTATTTGAATTTGTTGCCTATAATCAATTCATCAAAAATATTTATTAATGAGTAAATTCATAATATTTGAAGATGTTGACAATGAAGAAAATGAAGATCAGATATTCAGTACTTTATTTGCTCCTAAAAATACTTCTATCGTAAGTTTTGAACAAAAAGCCAACAATTATGGTCTTGGATATAATCCATTCGAAAATGCTCCAGAGTTTGTTTTTCAATCAGCTACTAGTAAAGGTACCAAATATATATTTTTTTATTATTTAGATAATTTTTGAACTGGAATTTGTTACAAAAACAAACTACCAGAATATTAACTTATTTAGGCGATGGTTATCTCCGTAAAGATAAACCGAAAAGTTCTTTTCCCATACGAGGTATTTTTTTTTCTATTATATTTTCTAAATGGTTAATAATAATTGCTAATAAATTTCATAATTTTAGGTGCGATAGGGACCGGTGTTTTTGACGATGATGATGATGATGATTTGTATTCAGGAACATCAATGACTGATTTTAATACTTCACTAATTGATGACGATGACGATGACATCATAATAATGGGAAGCAGGAAATACTCAAAAATGTCAAACCTGTCTACAGAATCTCAAATGAAAAAGGTATTCGATATTTATTTGGTATCCTTCAGAAAAATATATAAATATATATAATAAAAATATTAAAGAAAAAAGTTTTTGTTTATACTAGTCATCATTCCATGATAATAGATCATGTCATGATGGGACTCAACCATTACGAGGGTTTATGTTGGCCAGGAAACCTCTTCCTATTGACAAATGGTAATTTGTGTAATATAAGTTATACACCTTTTTTTGGTAGCATTTTTTATTTACGAATTATTTTGTCACTATAGGTTCAGTCCACCGGATTTGCCACCAGAATACGTTCCTTTTCATGAATTTGACTCTCAAACTCAAAATACCCAGGATACGAGTAAAAAGAATATAAAACAAAAGCAGACTACATTGGCGATTGTAGCAGAACAGGTAATTGTTAATTATAGTGTGAATACATGCCATATTCAATTATTCATTGAACTAATAACTAGAATTTTCATATTACAGCGTGGCTCATTATTGGGTGAAACACCTTTAAATGCACCTGCACGTTCGGTATTTGATTATGTGTCTCGGAAGGATAAAGAAAGGCTAGATAGTATAGTTCGACCAGTGATTGATACGTCAGGTGACAAAAATGTTAATAAACCTAAAATTCCAAAGATAGAAAATGATGTTGCTTTGGCTGCTTTGAAAGGATTTATCCCTTTTGAGGACAATAAGGAAAAACAAGCTAGATATAAAAAATATTTAGAAGTACATGCTGAGTTAATAGCTCCTGAATTATTAAGAAAACCTGAGGTTCGTTAAAGGTTTAATTATTCAAATCGTATTCTATATACCAATTATTAAAAATTTTTATATTATTATTTATAGGAATTAACTGCAGATGAATTCTCAAAGGAGCTAGATGAATTCTCTAAAGCAGCAAGAATATTTCGCCCAATGTCAAAAATGATTGCATCTCGATTCACCAGTAGTTCATCGCCTGCTGAAGAATTCAAACAACCTGTTCCTGGTCTAAGAGCCGGTGCCGGAAATGATTCAGATATTCCTTCAGATAAAAAAAAAGATACAGATCAACTTGACTCTGAATCAACAGCAGAGGCTGCTGCAAAGATGAATATGTTTGGTCAACTTACGAGATCAAAATCTGTGTTTTATCCAAGCAAGCTTCTATGTAAACGATTTAATGTAGCAAATCCACATCCAGAACATGCACAAAATTCAAGTTCTGGTAGGACTCAAAAAGGTCAAAAAGAGGCACTCAGCAGGGAGACGATGAATGACATTCTCAATAAGCAAGATGCGCAAAATTTTCCAGGATTTAGTACGACTCAAAAAGGTCAAAAAGAGGAACTCAGCAGGGAGACGATGAATGACAGTCTCAATAAGCAAGATGCGCAAAATTTTCCAGGATTTAGTACGACTCAAAAAGGTCAAGAAGAGGAACTCAGCAGGGAGACGATGAATGACATTCTCAATAAGCAAGATGCGCAAAATTTTCCAGGATTTAGTACGACTGTACCTACTGTACGCCCTGCAATGGAATTATTTAAATCAATTTTTGGTGATTCAGGTTCAGAAGATGATGATGATGGGGACGCTCCAAAACATAAAAAAGTAAGGTTTTCTATATACAGTATTTCAAAGACTTTTTGAAACTTCAATATCCTCATATTAACCTCTTATTTATCTATGTAGCCTCCAAATCTAGAAATTATAGAAATTCTAGATAATGTAGATGATGATGGGGACGCTCCAAAACACAAAAAAGTATATTTTTCTATATACAGTATTTCGAAGACTTTTTGAAACTTCAATATCCTCGTATTAACCTCTTATTTATCTATGTAGCCTCCAAATCTAGAAATTCTAGAAATTCTAGATAATGTAGATGAAGACAGTAAAGATAGTAGTCATAAACATTCACGGAAAAAACATAAAACCGAGAAAAAGAAGAAGAAGAAGAAACGGTCACATAAGAACGAAAGTGACGATGAAGAAAAACATAAGAAAAAAAAGAAAAAACATGGTGACAAAGATAATGAAACACAAAATAAAACCGATGAAACGAGAAATAAAATCGATTTGATAAATCCATCAGTTCCATCAATCACTTTTCAAAGAACAACAGCACAGGCTAGTTCATCGAAAACAATTAATCAATCTTCGTCGTCACAATCTAAAAATACGTCTATAAATCGAACTAGAAATCGGCCAAGGGCATCTGATTTATGGTAGTTTTTTTTTAATAATATGTTTATTAATATTAATAATTCGTGATATCCGTTTCTTTTTTTTTTTTTTTTTTTTTTTTTTTTTTTGATTGTTTATTGTAAGTATACATGCATTTGTAATAAAATGTTGTATATACGTAAATTTTTTAAAATATTCAAAATTCACGACGTAATATTCGTTATAACCTGTAAATAAAAATTGTATCTATTCGATATTTGTTTTTTTTTTTTAAAAAAAAAGAAAATAATAATATTTATGATATATACATATAATAATAATGAATAAACTTTTATTTTTCGAGAACGTTAAGGACGATGTTATAACCAACTGTTATGTAGTGAGCTTTGCTGTCACATATTTTCTATTTTACAATATATAAGGGAGAGGGGGTATTATGACGCAGGTGGGTATTGTGACGCACTCGTGTTTTTTGACGATATCTCGCGATACA